AAATAGCAAAGATGATATAAAGGGTTTTTACATGCCATATCTATGATCAAACTGAATACCAAGATATTTCAAAGTAGGTGTAAAGACTGGAATCTCATTGAAATAGAAAAAAAAATCAGTTATAACAGGGATATAGGAACAGCACGTGTATCTTGTGCAGTAAAAAGGAGTAAAACTCATACTTACCTATTCTATACACAGAGCAAACATCTGTGATGGAGGTTTGTTTCAACAAATGTATCACTTCTTCCAAATTGTTTTCTTTTGAAAAAAAAGATAGCTCTTCTGCTTCAAGAAAATCCAGGTCTTGTGGTCTAACAAAGAAAGGAGTAACTTTGAAGGTGTCTGAAAGCAGATTTGGCTTGAGGAGCTCACTGCATCAGTCTAATTGGAGCTTGTTAGAGAAACTAGTACAGTCTTTACATTATAGGTCCTGTTGTGTTCAAAGTTAGTATCAGTCATATTTATAAACGTGTACAAACTGATAGTAGCTATGATTGCAGCTAACAGTTTCTGCCATATCAGAGTAAGTTTTATGTCTGTGTCATGGTGTAGTATTTTATGAAAGGATTTATTAAAAGCACAAATCTTTAAGGACATTGTGGTATATTTTTTTAAATATAAGCTTAAAGTTACACATCAGACGGACCTGCAAACAACATTTAAGAACTCCTTGTTTCAGTATGCAAACAGTCCAGACATACTAACAGGAGCAGCCTATTTACATGGTGCCAATGTATGCAGCAATGCACACTTTTTACAGGTTTCTTTCTACATTATGAGAAATTATTTTTAAGAGGAGACACATGTGAAATAAGCTAAGGCCTGTAATTGAGGGTACTAGGAAGAACAGAACTTGGATGCTTTAACATAAATCTTGAAAGACCAGTAAAAATGGAATCTTCTGCAGTAGCAAAACTTCTTGGATCTTGTGAACCAAAGAATAGAGACTGAACCCCTTTCCCCAGTAAGAAACTTGGGTACGGGCTGAGAACATTTTCCAACATTTAAAAAGACTTCATATTCCAATTTGCATTTGTTTTGACTGATACACACTATGAGAATTCTCATTAAAAAAAAAACCAAACCTGAGTTTAACATTTGGCATTTTAAAGCTCAAGAGACTAAGTCTCTTTTTGTTTATGAGTTAAATACATATCACTTACTTATTTTTAGGTAAGTCCAGTTTAACATGATTTGTCTTCACAAAACCTACTTGACCAGTAAACACATGTCTTCCAAGAAACCATTCCATGCATTCAATGAAGTAGCCAAGGATCTCAATTTTGTCCCCTTCCTGGAAACTCATCTCTTCCAACACAATACTTTCATAACTTATCACAGCTAGACAGGATCCTATTGCTGTGTAATAAGGAGATAAATAATATTTGCAGATAAAGTAATTTAACAATACAAATACAGTTAACAGAATGGCAACTCAGCAGAAGAACATATTTAGCAAAAGACATTCCTGGAACTCCTGAGTTTCACATCTGATGTGGCAAGATTTAAAGCATCCAAGCCTAATCAGTTTGGTTTGAGCAATTAGAGTTGTAAATAACAGCATAAAAATCCTCATTTCCCAGCCATTAGAAAGCAAAGTCTAAAATGTTTTCAAAATTCTAGCAAATACAATCATGAAGCAACAAAAAGAAGTGTTTTAAGTCCCTACTTTCCCTCTTATAAAAGGCTCTGCACTTGGGCCACAGTAAAAACATTTGAACCAACTAATAAAATCCCTATTGGATAAATATGCAGTTATATACCAGTCAATACAGTATTAAAACTGACATGTACAGCAGAAAATAAGCCATATTTACTCTCTCACCTCAGACCATCTGTATAAGTTTTATTTCTCTGGCAGTATTAGATAAAGCGATACACGTGTGAAAGATCCACAAAAATTACATTGGTGCATGTTCTTATTTGGAAGTTTGTCACCAAATCTACAGAGGCATCCTCAACTTAATTACTCTTTACTACTTTGTGCATCTACTTAATACAATATTCAGGAGGAAAAGGGGGAGAGAGAAGCCTTTAGAGTTTAACTCAACTTCAGCAGATTTATGTTCTCACTAATTTTACTGCAACATAAATTTTGTTTTCCCATCCTAATACAATGCAAAAAAAGTTATTGAATCCTTTAGTGTCCATCCTACCAAAAGCATAGAATAAGTTTGGGGTTTTTTTAATACTGATATTTGAATGGAGTTTCTTACCAACTTTCCTGATGGATTTAGATTCAGTTTTGTATGCAAAATCAATAGGATCAGAATACCCTTTAAGAAACCATCTGAAAGTAGAAAAAGAAATTGAAGTTAGTGTATAAAACACTTCACTAAATGTTGTGACAAAAACAGTGATATTTTAAATCCATTTGAAAACAGATGCACCCCTCCCACAATTATCTTTCAGTTTCAGCACTGTCCATACGCTTCAGACAGAGCTATGTTTTGAGTAATAGTAGTAGTAAAAGTAGTGTTACTTCAGTCAAACAAACCTGAGAAAGTCATACTATTTCTCCCTGCCCAAGGTCAATAGAAAAATTCCAGCTTTTTAACTAAGAGCACCAAGAATGAATGATTTTCTGGTGATTCCTGAAGTGAGTCCATTGATAAGTCCTTTGATGTAATTTTGGCTTTATAGCAATTATGAGCTTGGACATGAACTTGAAAGAAACCGCATTAAGGAGGTGGGTGGCTCCTGTCAATAGTATTGAGTAAACACACTGCTAGCCTGTTATCATCTACATTTCCAAGCATCCCAGCTGTTACTATCCATATTTCCAAGCATCCTGAAAAATGAAAATTCTCACTTTATGTTATTCTCGAATTGTTAACAGATTTTGTTTCAGACTCAGGAAAAAAAAAAAAGCAGTATCTAACTCAAGATGGTAAACCATCTTTAAATGCTGCTCTGCAGGCATCTGGATTAATTTCAGTTGTGTGGTACTGAAGGAAATAGAGCATTTGTTCTTAGTGTTAATGGAAGATGAATGTTCCATGATGAGGTTCCATTTAGAGACACCTATGTCTAAGCAGACATGTGCACCTATAAAACATGCATATGAGATAGGTAGAGTCAGGTACCTACTGATGAAAAGGGATCAATGGTTCTGGAGAAGCATTAGACTGCACGGTCATGTTACCATCCACAGATTCAACTGTTACGTCTTCAGTAAAAGCCCCAGTCTCAAAATAAGTGTTTATTTCATTGTCTGTAGCCATTATCTTTCTTATCAGATTGTCAGGACAAAAAACAAAAAATGCACCTAAAAAGAAAGTAGTGGAGCAGATGTCATTTTATGTAATGTTTAAGTGTCATACAAGCTTTAAAACTGACTTCAAGAGCATCAGTAATATTCAATTAGAGATTGAAAATCTGAGATTTCAGAAGAACTTTCTTTCTGATGTCAGATATTCATACTCTTCTCTCTAGTTTCTCTTTCAGTAAAAAAAAAAATGCAGAGATGAGGTGTTTGATGAAGTGTAGAACCTTCTGCTGCAACATTTTGCATGTTCCTATTGCAGTAATCAATGATCCATCTAGCCCATCATTCTGTCTCTGACAGTGGCAGCAGGTGATGCTATTCAGGAGAAGCACACAAGCCTGGCAATTATCTGTAATCCCCCTCCTGTACATCTCCAGGATCTGTAATAACATTAAGCAAGTTGGAATGTACATCCCTCCCTAATCCTTTTGGTATCCATTTATGGACCAGTTGCACATGAATTTCTCTAATCGCCCTGTGATCCTACTGAACCCAACCCAACTGTGTTTGTACCTTTCTCTCCTTTCTGGTGCATTTGGAGTGAATAGATTTAAATTTCAACTTCATTAAGTATTTGACTAGGTCTTAATATTTGATTTGAGGATTTTAAAGAAAGGTGCTTCTCTAAGTTTAGCCTTTGCATGTAGTCTTCCTTACCTTCCTGTACTAGCATGCTTCTGTACATCAAATTTAATGATTTTTCATTTATACAGACTTCAATGCCTGTTTCTTCCTCCTCTTGAGAATAGAGCCAGAAAGATTGATCTAGGAATAAATTCTCCATGCAATGATTTATAAAACCTAGGAAAAAAAATCCAGTTTGTTTTCTTTGCAATTTTACAGTATTATACAAGAAAATAACCTTTCAGAAAGTCAGAGACTGGGATAGGCATTCAGATAACTCCATTATTGCTTAACCCACAATGTCTAACTAATTTTACTACACAGTATTGGCAAAATTACATCCATTAAGTCACATGCATTACAGCTACTTTTAATGCTTAACTCTCACAAACCACACCTAAAAGGTGCACAACTTTTGTGTGCCTAATCCTGCTTTATCTTCCCCTTACAGGGGTTCCCCATAGTTTAGCTATATTTGAAAGGTTTGGAGTCTGAAAGAGGTAATCACTAACAAGCTTTGAGCAACAAGTGCTTAGCACCACTTAATAACAGATGACTGGAAATAATATAAAAAAATAATTTCTTTATAAATTTCTGTTGCCTGATTCAGCTGTGCTCATTTATGCAGATACTGTGTCTGGGCATCAGATTCCTAGAATATCTTTGGGACAGAGATGACACTGCATACCAGTCATGTAAATCACAAGAAGGTGGTGCTTGACCTTGGACAATGGGGCTCCTTATATCAGGACTTAAGGCTTTCAAAGCTATGTGAGTTAGATAGGAGATCTGGATTGGTGTATCATAATCAGCATGGTATAGAGAGCAGATTACTACTTAACGGGCCAACATTAATACATTAGCAAATCCTTTTGTGCAAAAAGTTATGATGAAGAGGAAAGGTGGGCAGATCAGCAATTAACGTGCTGCTCTGCTATTTGGAAGATACTGAATGAATTCCCTGTTAGCCACAGCCTTGCCTAAGAAGAAACTTCATCTTCTTGTGCTTTCTCTGCAAAATTGGATTCAAACAGTATTTTTTCTAGTTCTCTAAGGAACATTTTGAAATACAAAATAGCAAGTAACATGAAATTAAAAATTAAATTCATTATTTTAAATTGGTCTGATGGAAACAGGCAAATTCAATAGCAATGCACACAAGCTCTCCATACACAGAAGGAAAAAATAAAAAAAATCAGGTGAACAAAATGGCGACAAAGATCTGATTCAAATGCTATTCTTCAGAAAAGACCTGTGAAGTTATAGGATATTAGAAATGGAACTCAAATCAATGGCATCATATTATTACAAAAGGCATGCTCAGATTTAGAAACAGAACTGAAGCATGAAAAGCATATGAAGCAATCTTTGTTTTATTTGATATTTCATCTGAAGCCTTACTAACTCTATCCAGTTTGCTCACTACTATTCAGGAAAGATGTGGAACAGGTAGAAGAGTCCAGTGGAAAGCATGATCAGAGGTCTAGAAAATACACTCTGAAGAAGGATTATAAGAATTCGGGTTGATTTTCCTAGTGAAAACAACACTTAGTGGAAGTGCAGGTTAGAAGTCTCCAAATAGGTATTAGCATGGTGCAAAGAAAGACGAGTAACCTCGACATGTCTACAGTGAGCAGAAAAAGCTGTAAAAGCATTCAAGTTGCAGCACAGGTTAGACTTTAGGACAAAACCACCTGGATTGGAATAGACTGTTTAGAAAAAAAAGATGTGATCTGATTCTGGAGTATCTAACTTCGACAAGACATCTACCAGGAACAATAGGTTTTATCTTCTTTGGAACAAAGGCAGGTTCTCCTGGAGGGTCTCTCCAGCCCTACCACTAGTACCCAGTTCAGGAACATGACTTACTGCTATTAGGAGTTAATACAAAGAATCTCAAAATCCTGTTCAACAAGTTCCCAGTCAATCGGAAATTGTGTGCAGAGGAATAAAAAAAAGCATATTGAACTTTTCTATGGTGAAACAGCTTTACCCAGTGAGTGGTAGGTTAGAAACTTCCATATTTCTTCAAAAGTTTTAAATGTCACCACTATTAGATCTTGATCACTATGAATAGACAGCAGCCTGGCAGAGAGCTCCTAAAAAAAAAAAAAAAGAATCAAACCCAATATTTTAATTACAATTATACTAGACTCAAGCACAGTTTCTCACTAGGTAACACTTATGCTAAAATGCTATGTATTAAGAAGGATAAAAAACCATCCAGGATTTTACCTATATGAGATATCTGTTCTTTAACACATACCTACATACAGCGATCCAAGTTTTAATCTGTTTTTTTCTTACCAATTGTACTAACGGTTCCAGTGAAGTTAATTTACAGAGGAATTAAGACCTCAGGACTGACCACACTGAGTGAGACTAAAGGCCCGTCTGGTTCAGACACATCTATGTCTACTGGCCAGTATTCTCTAAATAGAGTGTGAAAGCCAGGCAAGCATCTAGTGGTACTTTCCAAGAATACCCTCCTAGCACAGAGCAATTTACAGCTTGAGAACTGCCTTTGCCAGACGTGTGGGCATTAACACTAAACAGCGGAAAGGGCTTCTTTTTATTTGTTGGTTTGCGTTTTTTACTTCAAATTTCTCTATGTCACTTGAGCCACTGTAAGTTTTTAGGATCCACAACATCCTGCTGTAGGTGAGCCTTGGAGCTCTGTACACACATGAAAACCTTTGATGCATCTTTGAACCTGCTATCTGGTAGCTTCAGTCTTGTTCCAGAAGAAACATTGAACAGCCATTCCTCCATGGTTAAGACAATTAAATATACTGGACTATTTTTTTTTTTTTTAAAGTTGCAGTAAGATCCTTTTGTCCTCATTTGTACTGGTTCATGTTGCTAGAGTAGCATTAAATTGCGTGTTTAACAAAGATGAGCAATGATCATTGTAAATGATAATGATGGAATTTATTATAAGGAATTTCAGAAATGCTGAAAGGTAGAACTACATAAGCCTTCAAATATGTGAAAGAAATACACATTTTGATTATTCTAGCCAAAGAGCGGTAATATACAGTCTGGTTGCGCTTCAGTTAGTAGCTTAAAAAAAAAAAAAGGGCTTTCCAATGATGCCAGCTACTGTCTTTCATGGAAATACAAAGAACTGTGGCAATTTATGATACAGGTATCTGAACCAGTATCTCAGAGAATAAATCAGATGCAAAGCTAACAGGTATAATGCTACTGTATCATTTGCCAGTATTGTACCCTTGCTTCCGTCACATCAAAATTGAAATGCATCTTAAAACAATTTAAGGACTGATCAAGAAATTGATTCTAACACGGGGGGTGGGGGGAATTTGTCCCTCAAACATTTTCTGTAATCTGAGCAAGATGGAGCTGATCCACTGGTTTTATTACTCTTAGGTTATGATTTTAAAAGGTCTCCAAATTAATTCTGTTTAACTTCCATATTTTCAATTCACACATGAACAGATTAAAATAGTAAGTTGAACTTTTGTTTTCAAAAAGGAGTTAAGCCTCTTCAACAGGCATGCCTCATCACTGCTTTGATCTTCTGCATGCCCCTTTCTACACTAGATTAAATATTAATGAGAGCCTGAAATCTATTAATAAATTGCCAACACATGCTAAAATATCTCAACCTCAAGGGCTTTATGCACTGCTGAATATCAAAACAACATTCTAAGGGAACTTATCATTATAGATCTTGCTTCCTTCAAAGTCCTTTTCCCAGTCTGTTTCTAATAAGGCCACAAATCTAGTCTATTTGTATGCTGGTTTCCTTCTCCTGATCCCTTCTCCCTTTCCCCATCTCCCCCTGAACAAAAGCCAGAGCAGAGCAGCAGAAGTACAGACTGCTTTCACAGCCACAAAAATCAGCAAGCTAGTGATGGAGAGTTCACAACACATGGAAGTAAGTCATCTAGAAACACATGTGTCTGATACAGTCATAAAGCTATAACTAATTAAGACTTCAGTGTTTAGCTTGCTAGTGAAGGAGGCTGGAACTCATGGCTCAGACAAAAAAGTGACACCAGTGGTTAAATGGTATCATCCTGCTCTTTCATCAAGAGGAAAGAGGAGGCTTTAAATTGTATTTGTAAGAAAACCCCATTGGTTGCAGAGGATGGGTTTCCTATATACAAACAAATTAAAGACAGTAATAAAAATATGCCAATCCTCTTGTGTTCTGTTTAAAGCCATGACCATCTAGCCCTAGGAAGTCCAATATTTATGCTATTCTTCTCCAGACTTCCTCTTTGGCTTAGCAGTGGGCTTCCTGGGTAACCTGCATGCCAAATGACTCCAAGTGACTGGAAACTGAAGTGAAGAGTCAACAGAAGAGCAAATTAAAAAAAAAGAAATCAGAAACCCATAATTTCCTTTGATGTAAATCAAAGCAGAACATATTTAAAATGAAACCCTTCAATGCCTTATTTAGCTGGGTTTATTTTTTTTACAGCAATTTAGTGTTCCAGTCTTTTTCAATGGTTCAGTATTTCTAATGTCTCTAGATGGTTTTGGGCCATGGGAATCTCTGGTCACTCAAATTCAAGTGTACAGCATGTAGATGGAAATGAGACCCAAATACCTGACAGATTATTTCACTAGCAGAGAGCGTATTCTCTAAGTAAATAAATCAATACCCAAGCAATTGACTTACACTGAAAACTGCCATCACCTCCTTGCTGTCATTTTCCAGAAGACGGAGCTGCCCTCTGAGCTGTCTTTGGAGTCTGTGATCAGGACATCCACTCTTCCGTCTTACCATCGTTAACTTCAAGGAGATATCTGGAGAAGGATATCCATTTACATTGCTACAAGTTTTGTGAATCAGCTTTGGAGAAAGGGAAAATCCCGCAAAATCATAGAATCCACATTAAGAACTATTTTTTCAGCTTCAGAGACAGACACATGGAAAATTGACTTACTGCATGTTTCTTTTTCATTTTTATTATCCAGCAGAGATAGTAGCCTAGCATGAAACACAAGATTTTTTTTTTTTTCAGTTGCATAATAAAGGCTACAGCTATACAAAGGACAGTGATGTGAAAGCCTGTAGAAATTTTGGGAGACAACTGACACACTTGGGGACAGAGAAGAGAGAAGAGGAAAAAAACAAGCAGACTGGTAATTTGTCAAATTAGACAGGTCTACAGACATTGAGAACACACCCAGATTTCCAAATATCCCATGCATATTTTAAAAATTGAGGCAAACAGATACTGACATTGAAAAAAAAAAACAAACCACCAAACAAAAACAAACAAAAAAAACCCCAACACATACCAACCCAAAACCACCATAGATGCCATAGATGTTTCACTATGTTACAACTGTTTATCCTAATCTTAAATTCATGGTTATCTGACATGTCAGCCCCACTCTTCAGGTAGCTTCTATAAACTGAATATTGAAAAAGCTGTTTCTCAGCTAAGCTGGTTGAGCAGTACCAAGATAAATGGTCCAAAAGCTCACTTACGTGATTTCCCCAGCACATCTGTTCTCAGATCTTGACATCTGTTTATGAGAAGATTTTAGTACAGCTAAGGGTACAGTTTCAGCTACCTTATCTCAGATAAAGAGGATCTTTGATTAAGCTGCTTTCATTCTGCATGTCTGTTAATTTAACTCAATAACAGTAAATCATATTCATAAGTTTTCAGATACCCAGATAGGCACATATAAGCCAAGAATACCCACTCAGGAAGAATTCCAATTGCAAGTGTGTAAATAGGTCACACTTCCAGCAATAAATGGGATTGTTGTACATCCTAAAATATTCCAAGCTCCTCTGAGTCTCACCTTTTAATCAGGTAAAATAGGTATTTTCCACATTCTAGTCTAATATGCTGCATCTTAATCTATTTTCAGGGGGCTTCTTATGTATGTCTCCAGGAGTTTTATGATGACTTGTGCCTAAAATTACTCATTACTTTAAGGCCAGGAAGGGCAGCTCAGACATATAGAGCAGTGTTACTGAATTACAAGACCTCTCTGTTTAAGTTGTGGTCATATAGTCAATCGTTAGTGTCCTGGTTTCAGCTGGGATAGAGTTAATTTTCTTCCTAGTGGCTGGCATAGTGCTGTGTTTTGGATTTAGTAGGAGAAGAATGTTGATAACACACTGATGTTTTTAGTTGTTGCTGAGTACTGCTTATGCTAGTCAAGGACTTGTCAGCTTCCCATGCTCTGCCAGGTGCACAAACTGGGAGGGGGCACAGCCAGGACAGCTGACCCAAACTGACCAAAGGGCTATTCCATGCCATATGGTGTCATGCTCAGTATAGAAACTGGGGGGGGGTTGGCCATGGAGCAGCGATCGCTGCTCGGGAACTGTCTGGGTGTCAGTCGGCGGGTGGTGAGCAATTGCACTGTGCATCACTTGCTTTGTATATTATTATTGTTATCATTATTATATTGTTATTATCATTACTATTTTACTTTATTTCAATTATTAAACTGTTCTTATCTCAACCCAGGAGTGTTTCTCACTCTTACTCCTCCGATTCTCTCCCCCATCCCATCAGGGTAGGGGGAGTGAGCGAGCGGCTGCGTGGTGCTTAGTTGCTGGCTGGGGCTGAACCACGACAGTTAGTAAAAGAACACAAACTACAGTCTTTGAATGTTACTTGGATCACTGTTAGGTAACTGTATTGTTGACCTTTTCATTTTACCTGAAGCCATAAAAGATACTGGCACAAGAGAAGTCTATTACTTAAAAATTTAAATTTTTGTTCTATATAATCAAATTGACTCCAAGTTAAATTATGTTTCTACAGTTACATATCTAAGTCTTATATAAGGTTCATATTACTGAAATAATAATTACATTGAATTAAAACAACTGAAATATGGCTGCTTCTGCCAAAAGGACTATTAATAATGCCTTACGGAAATGAAACATGGTACAAAAACCCATTGCACCTATGGTAATCTTCCTGTCTGCTTCTGTGAGCTCTGATCCATACCCCTGATTAAGAACCCCCCAAATTCTGTACGGAGTGAGACAAACAGGTACATAAGCACATATAATTTAACTACAAATAACCATATGCCTGGGAGAGACTGTCTACTATTTATGGGCTCAAGCTGCACCAGGGGAGGTTTAGGTTGGATATTGGGAAAAATTTCTTCACAGAAAGGGTAGTCAAGCATTGGAACAGGCTGCCCAGAGAGGTGGTGGAGTCACCATCCCTGAAATTGTTCAAAAACCAGGTAGATGTGGCACTTGGGGACATGGTTTAGTCTAGTCTACCCTTGATTGGTTTAGTGTGGACTTGGCAGTGTAGGTTAATGGTTGGACTGGATGATCTTAAAGGTCTTTTCCAACCTAAATGATTCTATGATACTACTGATGTGACTTGTCAGGTCAAGCCAGAAAGCAGAGTGCATCCCAGTGTTGTTTTTTGATGGTTACTTCTCTTCCGCCGCAAGCAGAAGGGAAGCATAACTGGACCCTCAATGCACACAGCAGGCCACGAGCTCTCCAGAAGGGAAGCCTGCTGTACATACTTACTGAAGAACTGCACTCAATTGCAACTTCATTAAAAATACAGCATTAAAAAAAAATGAATTAAGGCTTGGAAAGGCCACAAACTTAAAAAAAAAAGACATTTGAAGAATTTAAAACCTTACATAAAATAAGCAATGAACTTTTTATTTGCTTTTCTTTTTTTTTTTATTAGCCATTAAAATACAGCCCATAAATTGTTTCTGGTTTTTAGAGCAGTTAATAAGTTACTTCTCTCCTTTTATGAGAAATTCTCAACAAATCTTATGCAGAAGTTGGACACTTCACAGGTGCCACAAAGTATGTTATAAAGTTACAGGAGTGATGACTGCAAATGTTGTTGATGTAGTTGTCTCGATTAAAATACAGTAAGCAATGAGAAGAGCATTATATTTATAATATATGATGGAAGAAAACATCTTACCAGTTGGAAAATTCTCTGCTTGACTGGGAAGTGTCCTTGAACTGACATTCGTGCATTTTTCACTTTGAGAACATTCTATTATGATAAATGAAAGGAATGGTTAAGTGCATTTTCTAAGTCCCTATAAATCACACTGGAAAACAAAACAAACAACCCACACTTTCAAAACATTTGACGTATTGGATAATTACTAAAAGAAAACAACTATATTTTTTTCCCCTTCCTGCTATATAATTCCCCAAACCTACAAAAAGTATCTGAAGATCATTTCTTTCCTACTGGGGAGAAAGTTAAATCTCTGTATCGTCATTTAGACATGAAGCTTCAAGATGATAGAGAATTGGTGGAAAGATAGCCTCTCAGGAAACTGAAGTCCCATTTGGGAAGAAGCAAAGGTCAGACTTCATTTTCTCTTCCCTTGCACCTATACTAAAAAGTGGCCTCCACTGAAGCTTCAGTGGTATAAATTGGCAATGATACGAGTGCCTTGTATCAGTTCATACATGGAGAGAAATAATCCTTCTCTTTCTTTGTTACAAGCTTAATATTTGGGAGGGGGTAATATAAAAATGAGTGATTTGAAGTTTTAGAAAAATAACAAAATAAGTACATTATGTTAACAATAATCTGCTTTTTTCTTTTTTGGCCCATATTTCTTCCAGTCCTTTTGGAAATGATACATTTTCATGCTGAAGGAACACCCACTCTAACCAATTCCATTTTCTCTAGGTTCCCTTGGCAAAAATCAGTGAAGACAAGGCTTGATACTTCAGAGAGTGAAAGTTGGAGAAACAGATGTTTATTTTTAAAGGAAAAATTCTGAGGCAATTTTCATGTATGCTAAGACATTTTCCTCTGCAGCTCTGCTTTTAAGAAAAAAAACTGTAATATAGTAGATGACTTAGAAATTACCATGTCCTACATCTTCTCTCAAGTGCATCTGTTGATGTTATATGAACAAAGTCACACACATAAGGATACATAAACACAGAATTTTCCCACTTCAGAAAAAAGGCAGTAAGCAGTAAAAACATCATCTTTACGGCCAATTGTTAGCATATACTAGAATTAGAAATGTCAGTTCCCAAGCACTTTTTTTTGTTGGGTTTTGGCTGGGTGTCTGATAGCAGTGTTGGGGGGGGGGTTGTTTTGTTTTTTTAATCTGGACTCAACAATATTTGGTTTTAAATAGAAATTTGGTAGTAAGCTCACTGCATTGTAGGCTGACTGTATTTAAGGAATATTTTAAAGTTAAGTTCCCCACAACTTCTGGGACCATACTTAGTTGTAGTTCTGCTTTTTCTTGTTTTAGTCAGAAGTACAAGCAGAACAATTGTCAAAATTTTGACAACCTGTTATCAATCACTTATCATCATTTAACAGTTATCAATCACTTATCATCATTTAACAGTTGATAAGGACAATTAATTAGCATATGGTTTTGGTATGTGAACTTGCCATTACTATTATTTTGATATTACCAGTTACGGACTTTCCTCGAAAGGTATTTACTGAGACATGAATATCAAGCAGGTAATACTTTGTTTAAAAACTAAACCTAATTTCTATGACTTTTAGGAGAAAGCAAAAACTACAAGCAAGCATTTTATTACTCATAGGAGTTTAATCACAAATAATAATTTGCTATTAAATTTGAGCAACAGCATAAGAGTTACTATAAATACCTTTTAAACATTGAGACTGTTTAAAGTGCTATAATTAGATTCAAAGACTTAACGTGAACTCCATGCCCCATTCCTAATTAATGGGATGACCTGCATACTTCTTGGCAAGCTGAAAAGAAACTTTATATTGCCCTGGGATGCTTGTACCCCATATTCTTTGATGTCAGCAGAGTTGCAGTTGTGAACAGAAAGACATTGTCTAAGCCATAGGACATATAATTTAAAATGAAATAGTTTTTCCATGATTGCTTGAAGTATTTTCACATTCAGAAAGCTCTTGGGCTGACTATAAAGTAAGAGTCTGGTCACTGGTTTTGAGACACAGCTACCTATGCCACTCTACCCTTCCACCCAAAAAGTGTTTCAACTTGCATGTTTTTACTGCGTGAAGAATGTTTTCATTTGCAGAAAAATAAAGACGGTATTACATCTTTTGACAAAAAACAGAAACCTAAGAATTTTAATAAAACAGAAACATGCAGTCTAACTCATCTTTGCTTCTGAATCTTAGCAATTGTAGCAAAAAGCGCTAGACAAAGAACTTATATTTCAGTATTCTGGCTCTTGGGTTCTGATAATTTTCATCTCATCTTATCTTAATGCTGAGATCCATTTGTCTGCCCAAAGTGAATTTCAATATAGATTGTTTAATAGTCCAATCTATGTAGCTTTGCCATGGAGGAAATATAGCTGTTTGTTTTTTTGCATTTAACAGTTGTAGGTGTATTTAAAAAAAAAACTCAGCTGAAAGATACATGACAATTGTCTGCTTGTGCACAGCAAGCAATGTTTAAAGAAAACAGTAATTTAAACGTAAAGAAAAGTCAAGAGCAGAGTAACCAGCATATACTGATTGAGGTCTTACCCATTGGTTCTTGTGACATGTCCGTCCTGACTCCATCCCTGACAGTGCTGATGGCAGCATTGGCCTCTGCATGTTTCCAGTCAGACCTGCACCTTCCCTGCTCCATTTCTTTCCTTTCCAAGCTCCTGTCTTGCTTTCCCTCTAGACTAGGGATGATGGCCTTAGCGCTGAGCACGGATGTGCTGTCTGCCACTGCCGAACTCTCCATAATTTGCAATTCCTCACCGTGATGCAATTAACATTATCAAAAATCTAAGGGAAAATTCAATAATATATTTAAATGCAATAATATATTCAATAATATATTTATGTCAGAGTACATGTACATATTCAAGAGCTGTCCCACTCCTTCAGGAGTTATTTTTTAATTGTAATATACATTAAAGTATTTGCTTTAGACTTCTTTGAAAGGAACCGTTGTAAAACACACAAATTTATCCCAGAAAAAGCTCCTGCAATCAGGTGGCATCACTGCTTTAGCAACAAAGCAATAGATTTGACTAATAGCAACAATCCAAGGCTTGAAGTGAAGTGTACTTGTGCCCACTGCAAATTATGCATTCTTGGTCAGCTTTAATGCAGAGCCTCCAAGGGATAGCATCATTCACATTAACAGAGGCAATGCAGGGGAAAAACACAATTTTCTAAAGGTGATGAGAATGAAAAGGGTACTGCATGCTTAATTCAAACAAGCGAGAACATTTTTATAAATCCAGCTTTTTTGCAGTGCATCTGCAAAGGACGACTCATGTAGCCAGCACATGCCCCACTGATATTTAGACCCTTTTCTTCAGTGGGCTCTCACATGCCCCTTTAATTGATTTCATAAAGCCACAGGATAGATTTTGCTTTAGTCCTGTCACTTGGACCAATTCCTCTGTGCACAAATTCCTCTGTGCTTACTCCAGCCATACTCATTAATGAGCTGTATTCATTATGAGCATACATAGTGGTGCCTGGTCATCTTGTATCCCCTTACAATCTGCCTTCAGGCTGGTCTGGAAATTTCTCCCTTTTCTGTCCACCATGCAATGAGTACCCCAAAGCACATTGTTCTGGCTTGCTCCTTCACATACATGCCTTCCAACACTTCTCACCCTGCAAGCTTCATGGCATAGATCCCTAAACCTGAGCAAACTGAGTGCCAACATGAACAGCAGCAACAGCAACTAGCTGTCTGCCTTGGTGGGCAGGTATGCAGGACAAGGCAGTGATCTGCTTACACAACTTTCTGTTTTGCAGTCATTGAGACCTTTAGCCCATGGAGCACTTGAATAAGCAGTGAACTATATATTGACAGAAGCATGTTATGCAATTATAAAAAATTAATTAGGCATACATACAGGTGGTATGACCAGCTGAGAGAATTAAACCATAACCATATCTACAAGTGTATAAGTTAATGAAGTATGAAGAAATCTAGGCTGAATATTGTTTTAATATTTTCATTGTCCCGTTTTGCCATTTATTCAGAAGTGCCAGAGTGGTGAGGCTGATTTTCAAAAGATGCTTTGTGGTATTAGCATTGCAGTCCTCCATATAAAGTTAGTTGTATAAATTCATACATACCTATGAAATACAGATAGTAACTCAAACACAAGTGATTTTGATGCCTTTTTCCAGAAAATAGTATTTCCACTAACATATTTAGTTAGCATTGTTTTTCTGACTTCAGATCTCAGTTTCTCTTGCTAACTTCCCTGAAAAAATGCTTATCAGACTTGATGACCATGTTATAAGTGACTAAAAATACAGGTCTGCCAGAGACCAAACTCACTTTGTTAGGTTTATGGTTTCCATTTATATAGCTGATCTTTTCCTTAACGTAATGACAGCAGCTAACACCATTCTTTTCAGTACTGTACCAGGATTATATGTAATGCATTGTAATTTTCACACTAAGAATTAAACACTCTTCTGCATATATTTTGCAAACACTGATATCTCCTGTTGATGAAGACAAATATTCTGATATTAAACATAATTAAATTGCAAAGGTGGTTGTTTAAATTACGTTGTTCTATGAATCCAAAGCCAGTTTTTATTTTTAGATCAGGATAATCCTTAATCTCAGGAATGAAATTCAATGTTCAGAATATTAATTTTTTTCCATAAGCTCCTATCTACAAGCAGAAATATCATCCTCAACAAAATTCAGAAAAACAAGTATACTGTGACTTGAATTCTTAGAATTAAGTTGAGTTGGAGAATCATAGTTGGAGAATCATAGAATTGTTTAGGTTGGAAAAGATCTTTAAGATCATCTGGTCCAACCATTAACCTAACATTACCAAGTCCACTACTAAACCAATTAAGGGTCAAGTAATAATTAATGTCATGTTTCCTCTCTTGGTGGCTGGCTTATTTTTTAATGAAAGTAAAAACTAGGAAACATTAAGATTGGAAAGGACCTCTAACATCATCAGTCCAACCATCAATCCAACACCACCATGCCCAATAAACCATGTCCCAGAGTGCCACATCTACCCGTTTTTTGAATGCCTCCAGGGATGGTGACTCCACCACCTCTCTGGGCAGCCTCTTCCAATGCTTGACTACCCTTGCCGTGAAGAAATTTTTCCTAGTATACAATCTAAACCTCCCCTGATGCAACTTGAGGCCTATCGCTAGTTACTTGGGAGCCCAAC